GGCATTTGGTGGGAAGTGTCCGCAATAGACAACTGTCTGAAGCAAGCTTCAGCTTCATTAATTGATCTTCCACAACCGGATTTGTCCCGGGTAACTGAGCAGTTCTTTGTCAAAAATACGGTCTTTGGATTTGGTAACCAGATCCACTAAAGACGGATTTTAAAAAATAGTGCTGCTTGGATTTGATAGTTAGAAGTGTTGACTCGAGGGTTCAATTTCAAGTCATTAGTTCAAACTCCCTAAAACTGGCTCGGTGTCAAGTCGACTTCAGAACCCAAATATTTTACTCTAAGAGCGGGGTTTATCGGAAATGGTATCTTCAGCCGTTTTTACAAATCGTTTTGCCTTGACCTACTGTCTAATTGTAGCTGAATAGCCTGTATAACCAAAGCCAAAAACCACAACTACCTTAACTCTAACAGTTGAAATGTTCTTTTGGCAGAATAAAGTGGCTTGCAATCTTCGCATGAGAACTGTACCTAAAATAGTCTTTTTCAGTTGATTCGTACAGTCGCAGATTGGTTAAGTTGAAGTGCATAACCATAGCGGATGATTGGAACTTTCAACCACGGTTTATGCTTCGTAAGCTTATCAAGCCATTTTTAGACAACCACTTGAAACCCATAACAGACGGCTTTTGAACTTTTGCCAATAGGTTTTTTCTGAAGGCATATGTATTAAGCACACACTAAATTTTATCCATTGTGTTACTTCTCAAAATATATGCTGTGTGTTAACGTGGAAATCTGACAGGTTGTCGCAGTAGTTCACGAGTTTTCGTTGTTTACACGCCTGAATTACACCAAGTGGCTCTGTTTCCTTTCTACATTATTTCTTAATTTTTTTTTCCTTTATTCATTACGTTTCTTTAGGTGTACTGTTTTTCTTGTTATTCTTTCTTCATCAGTTTTGCGATGATTCTGTAACGTGCTTCTTCATGTCGTCAACTTTTGTTGAATTCATATTTAACTGTACACTATTTTTCTCTCCACACTTAATTGTGCTAAAATTATTACAGTTTAGTGGTTCTGACTGCCCCGTATTCTAAGCATAATGTCAGAATTGGAAAAGGTTAGTAGTCACTTCTATTTCAATTCAAATAGATGAGAGTAATTTTTTTTTCATCTTCTAAAGATGTAAAATGCCGGGACAGTGAAGTTTATCAGTGATGAATATTTAACCGGTTCTATCTTGTCCAATTTTAGAGCGTAGAGGGACAAGAAAGTTCAGCTGCGGAAGAAACTGAGGAAGTAGTCGATCAGCTTACTAAGGCGCGTGAAGAATGCGAAGAACATGCTGCCGAATTCAAGCGAATCCTTGATGAGTGCAACGCCCGAGTAAGGTCGAAGAAAAAGACTACCGAAACTTGTCATGAAGAGATGGTGAACTACATCCAACATCTGGATCACTGTGTAAGCTGCCGTTAAAAAGAATTTTTTTATTTATCTGACTCCTGTATTCAAGATATTGCGCTAAGTATTCTTAAATAATTACCAGTGAATGACAGAAACAGAAACAATGTGAAGCAACCAGGCAAAAATTTCAGATTGTTATTCAGACCGTTCAATTAAGAAAATTTGATAAGACGGGTCACCAATGCTTGTATTTTTGTGACAGAAATTTGTTGAACCAGATTACCTTGTGTCACATATTTTTTTCCAGATTTTCAGCCTATATTGTTTTTTTTTAATACTGGAAAAATTTTCAGCTCTTATTTGAAGTATGCGGTAAACTAAGTACACAGTTTTTACTTGGAGTTTTCAGGCAATGCCGAAGGCTTTTCCACAACTTAAGTGACAAACTAAAGCTCATTTTGTTTTCAAAAGTCAGCAGAAGCTCTCGTGCCTTGAACTGTCTACCTTTCCGCCATCATTGTCTAGGATTCGATGTCTTACATCTAGTTTGTTCGTAGAAATAGCAGTAGTGTTTGAAATAAAAATTTTCAAAGTTTTGTAGAGTGTAGCCAAAACAATTACACCCTTTATTTGTTCGTAATTCTTTCTCATTTCGCCAAATACGAGTTTACTACTCAGGAGTTTTGCAATTGTTTGGTCATGGTCTTTCCCCGTAAAAACAATCAGTGATCACTTATACTGGCTACTCTTCTGGGCCTTAATCTGGCGATCAAAGTGAGCTAGTGCTGTGCTTCTTACTGCTTGTTGAAATTTTATCCGGTGTAAAAAATCAAAGGGTATTAACGAGGTCAACTGAAGACCTGCCTTTTTTCTATTATGCATAGTGTATCGATGATTATTGCTTTGTAAATGTTACCTCTGATTAAGCCATTGAAGTTCCTCAAGGTGAAAGTGGTAAACCCTTGCCCTTTTTCGCAACGAGACACTGAAGTTGAATGGAGTGATAGAAGAAACAGCAATAAGGACTGGAAGGACCTTTTGCTCACCGCTCCTTTCAAACCTTTTGGACATGAAGTTTTCGTTCTTGGATATCGACGACTTCTGCAAACAACCCAGGTCGCTTAGAGAGGTGGAAGAAAGAGCACGTACAACGACGGTTTTGGGACAATGTCGACTTGGCTTACCAAGTCTTAGCTTTGAAACCTGCTGTGAAATACAACGCCTCGACGTAGAAGAACCAACTTTCCAAAAAACTTACTGTCCCACCAATCACAAACCGAACCTTTCTGTGCAGCGGCAAACGCTATCACACACCCAACCACCCACTTCAACGGATCCGCGGAGACTTTCAAGAGGAGGCTTCTTGAACCCCATAGGTAACCCACAAATGATGCCACTGTCCTCAAGCACCAAAACAGTTTTCTCCCGTTCCAACAGAGAACAACCACCAAATGACGCCAAACTTGTGATGTACCTGCAGCGTTTCGCAGAAGCATCATGATTTTGCGTATAAAAACTCAACCTATCAGAAAAATCCCATCCAAATTTACCAAACTACTTCACAACAAAGCCGGAACTCCATTTATTGAAAATAACATTAACAACTAATTCCAAACAATAATTAAATATTAGTCTCTTTTACAATTACACATACAAGAATAACATTCCAAGTGAAGCTCCTTAAACGATGACTAAGGGCTACCTACAAATACAAATCTACACAACATTTGGCAGAGCCATTGCGATGAAATTCGCTTGAAGACAGACGCTCCGGAAAACAAACAGCAAATCAAGCTCGTTGATATCCATTTCTGAGAACTCACATTAAAATCCTGCAGGAGCCGCTACTGCCGCAGGTTTCTCTTTGAGACCAGTTAACAACATCTTAATTTCACTAATCGCTTTTGCAGGATTCAAATGCTGTAAAGATTGACGTTAAGAAGTATTGCCAATTTATGAACCAAACAGTAACTACTGATTACCAATGACAGTTTTCATTATTGTCTATGGGACTATTTACCTTTGGGCAAGTCTTCGTACAGTTGAGGATGGTGTGACACTTGAACGCACTGTAACCGTCTTGCATGCGCTCTAGCCGTTCTCTATGAAAATCATCACGAGAATCGATAATCCATCTGGAAGAAGACTGTTCTTTCTGTCTGGGTATTAACAAAAAGTTAAACTTTCAAAAATCAAGGAGAAAACAAAAGACCAATTCTATGCTTTGTTGCACTAAACCTAATGTATACAGATGCTTCATATTCATAAACAACAAACCTGTATGCTTGCAAAAGCACTGCCGGCCCAAGATATTTGTCAGCGTTCCACCAATATGAAGGGCAGCTCGTACTGCAGCATGCACATAAAATACACTCGTACAAGCCATCCTGGAAAAGATTAAGAAATTGTGCCTTCACTAAACCACTGGTCTGACCTATCAAATGCATCAAAATAGTCCCACATATTTCAAAATATTAATTAAAAAACCTTTGTTAAATCAACAAAGCAGAGTAGACTGGACACGTTTCTCTAAAACAAACCTTCATCTGCTCCTACTAGATGCTCAAGAACAGAAGTATTACGCAAGGTGCAATGAAAAAGCTGATAAGTTGCAGCGGAAAAAAATTTTGGCAGACTTGAAACAGCAAAGCAGATACTCTAGACTTTTACAACAGTTTGCTATCAAAAAATTCACTCCTAAAAACTTCAAATGAAGTTCAAAAAAGTGAACAATACACATGCG